GCACAATGTAGTAGGCTATTGGAAAATTTAGTCACTCTACTTGATGGTACTTTATAGTACCTATAAATAACACAATGGTAGAAGATGTGTACAATCAGGGTCGGACTGGCGTCAAAAGGCTCAGTCTACAATCTGATCAAGGGGCCCTTAGGTTATACTAAAAATGATTAGCTCCACTATTTACTTGTTAATTTTTGTATTTAATTAGGATAAAAATGAAATATAATGAAAAAAACATATTATAATAATGAAAATTATAGAAATATTTTAATATTTTATGTTATACTTCAAAATTTAAATATACATCATATAGGTAGGTAGAATAAAATTTTTATTTCTAAATAAAATAATGTATAACAATATTTATTCGACCTTGACAAACATAAACCAATACTTACATATGATATAATTTAAAAAAAACATGAATAAATAGCTAATTAAATTTTTTTTTCAAAATTCAAATATAAAACAACAGTTTAGATAGTTCACTAGAACTTTTTCCAACAGTATCAATTTTTTTCTTTATCAATTTCAAAATTTCTTTCAATATTCATCAATTTGCTTTTATTGTGTCTTGGGAAATAGCTTATCTTAATTTTGTTTTGATGTTTTTTAATTTTGAAAATGTTCTCTCACAAGTAACTTGGGTACATGGTATAGTGTTAATATAAGTATATACTGTATATGCATAATATATATTGTTAAAACAACCTGAGTGTTGAACTATATTATGTAATACATTGAATGCACATCGTAAACAGTTATCACATGGTTTACAATTACTGGATGAATCAACAAATGGTGCTTGGTCTTGGTCTAAATCTAGTTCATGATCATAAATAGGAGATTGGGGCTCTTCAGATAAAAATATGAATGTGTCTTTAAAAAAATTAGTGATAGAATTAAACTGGAAAGCAAATTGTTGTAATTCACATGCCAATGTATTTCTATCGATGGATGTTAAAAGAGAAAGTTCTAGTAATGCATTTTCTGGTATATATCATTTTTTATAGAATCAAAATTTTGGGATCCAAGCAAATGCAATCACTTAGTAATTTTGAATTACTAATAAATCGGGTATTCAAGCTATTCGCACAAATAAAATGGATATAATTAAAAGTTTCAAATTTAAATCTATTATTTAATGACATATTTGGTCATTCATCAGTTATTTCTTCACCAGGCATAATTTTTTTTTGATACTCTACCCACAGATTTCCCATTATTAAAATCAAAATTTACAGTAAAACTACTATTATTTAATTCTAACTATCTTTTAATAATAATCTATTTATAAATAAGAATATAGCGATAATAATAGATATCTTGTAATTATCAGTAATGTATACTAATATATATTACTTAAACTAAATATATGCTATCATGTATAGCACGTTAGAATATATTATAATTTATAAATAAACGTAATTTTATTACGAAAAATGTACGAATATGACGTATATTATACGTATCGTAAACGTAAAATATACGTAAATGTCAGTTACTAAAACAATTATAATACATTTAATTAAAAATATGAATATGAAGTATTGAAGTCAGAGTGCCCAAACTAGCCAGTCCGGCCCTGTGTACAATGAAGGAAAGAATGTTATGAATGATGTATTTAATGGTAAATTAGTGCTTTTGTAATATTCAAATAGTATTTATAATTGAATAAGTANGCAAGAGCAATCAGTACATGACCTAAATGCATCAAAAATGAAAATAATGAAGGAAGAGAGTGAGGCTCGGATGGCAAGGGAGGATAGATTAGGCCGATTACAAAAAAAAGAGGCAAAGCTGCATATTGACATTATACAACTGGAAAAAAAGCTAAAATATAATTAAACCTTACTATAAATAATAAAACTTATTAACTATACATAAGTTAAACTTGCACAGTATTTAAATAATTGTTTAATGTACTTGTTACTATAATTATTATTATGACATTTGTTTATTGTATATTATAATAGTTCAACTGTTATGAGTAAAAAGGAAAAAAAAAGAAATATCAACAAGAATTATCAACTGTCACTAATGACATTATAGAATCAGATAAAGAACCAATATTAAAAAAGAAAAAAACGATGAAACCAAAACAAAAATTTTGAATTATTTTATTTCAAATCTTATATTTATTATTTTTATTTGGCAATTTATTTTGGTCAAAATAAACTTATTTTTTAAATTGTATTTCTAKAAGATGTCCCCTAAGTTCCTGAAGTACAGTCTGGGCGTAAATTTGAATGGAATGAAGCTTTTAATCAAGTGTTACAAACCAATTTCATTAAGTAAAGTAATGAAAAGAGTTTTGAGTGAATTTCATCTTTTGAATGACGCTAAAAAATCTGAAAGTGATCTAGAAAAGATATTTCTGAAAAAAATTAGGAARTTATTGAAAATGATAAGGTACAATTAGTAGAATRTTGATTTCGTATTTTGTTTCTTTGTTCTGTAAATTTAACTATTAAGGACTTCAATAATAAACAACCATAGATAGGCATATGCAAACACTAAACAACTTAATATCATATCATAAAATCTTTGACTTATGTGATACATAATATCACAATTTTTTTTTTTTTTAATTCTAGATTTTGAGAAAATGAATGTATTGATTTTACAATGTGTTTCTTGTATTGTTTTGTTTATAAATATAACACAGCAGAGGTAGTCAGAGATAAGATAATTTAAAGCCATATATTACAATGAAAAATAACAATAGGAGTAGGAAAAAGAATAATAACCACTTAATAATCAGCGGTTCCCAATTTGTTTTTATGTGCCGCCTTTTCTAAGACTAAATATAACATTGTTGCTCTGCTGTGAATATCATGTAACATAACACAAAAATATACTCATTAATAAAGAATTGTTGAAAAAAAATTTTTAATTTTTGATTATGAGTTGTAGATAGTGCCCTTAGAAACTGTTTGTGGTGCACAGTTTGGGAACTGCTGTATTAGTATATTATTAAAAATATTATATGTATGCTATAACCCTATGTGTTGTTTCAGTCTTAAAAATGTACAACATACCAATAACTGTTTTGCACGGAAGAGAAGTACTCAAGCAGTTGATAGCAATATAGTTAAGAACGTTAGCCGTGAAATATTTATATAAATTAAACTTGAATGATTTTGTAGTTTAGGTATCGAAAAAACAAAACAATATTTCACAGCCAAAGTTCCAAAATATATACTTAGCAGTGTTGGTTGATAGAACACACGAAACGATTTATCATTTTATTAGAATGCACCATATATTATGTATATCTATATATATAATGTATACATTAATTTGTGATCATTAATGAGGTACCCTCAATCCAAATGTATAGCAACAGTAGCATGTTCAGATTTTATAAAGGAGAGGGAATAAGAATTTTGTATAGTAAAAAATAAGCTAAAGAGGAATAAGATACATATAGTTTATGTAATTGGACATAAGTTATATTTTTGTTTCTTTGAACTTCATTTTATAAAAAAGTTTTTAATACAGCTAAGTTGCTATCTTTTACTTTCAAATTGTTTTCAGTTTCAGAGTTAATTTTTAATATTTTTTTTTTCTTTGATGATTGTTGTTCAACATCTGATTTTGTTTAAATTTCACAAATTACTGCATCTAGTGATTTTTTACTTTTTTTTTTCTTTTTCAGTGTTTCCTCACTACTAAAATTACTATTTGGAGTTTCACTATCAATGATCTTTTTTTTCTTAATTTCTTGTGGCTCTTGAATTGGTTCATTATTTTCAATGTTTTCAATGTTTTCCATATTTTTTTTATTTTTTTTGGATTTTTTAACTGAGCTAGGCTGATCTTCTATGATGTTTTTTTTCTCTACTAATTGTAGTTCAACATTTCCATTCAATTTTGATTTTGTTTTGTCAATTACCTCATCAAAAGATTTTTTACTTTTCTTTTTCTTCTTTTTTGGTGTTTCCTCAGTTTCACTATCAATGATCTTCTTTCTCTTAATTTCTTGTGGCTCTTGAATTGATTCGTTATTTTCAATGTTTTCCATATTTTTTTTATTTTTTTTGGACTTTTTAACTGAGCTAGGCTGATCTTCTTCTGCGATGTTTTTTTTCTCTACTAATTGTAGTTCAACATTTCCATTCAATTTTGATTCTGTTTTGTCAATTACYTCATCAAAAGATTTTTTACTTTTCTTTTTCTTCTTTTTTGGTGTTTCTTCAGTTCCATTATTGCCATTTAAATTTTTAATTATTTCAACATTCTCAATGCTGGTATTTTTTTTAATTTCTTGAGATTCTTCTTGAATTAAATCATTTTTCACTAAATTCTCTGATTTATTAACAACTGGTTTTTCATTTGAATTCTGAGGTAGTTGTGCTTTAAACTCGGCTTCTATCATATCAAACACTTGATCAATTATATATCCTTTTTTTCTATAAGCAGGAGCTGTAGAAAAGCAAAAGTTCTGAAACAAAACAATATAAATTAGGTTGTTACAATAAACTGAATTTGTGATGGTCTAATATCTGTATTATAATATTACATACAATAAAATGACATATTAAGAGGATGCCACACTCTCATGTGTTGTCTGCGTCTTATAAACGTACAAAGTATCAAAAATCGTTTTGTACTGAAAAATTGTATTTCCTCTGTATTTATTGCAATTACCAAAATTATACAATGCATAGGAAAGAACTCTGTGCCATAGGGTTTTTATTTTTTTAATAACACTAGCCAATAATTTAAAACAAAAAATCTAATTTTCATAAGCTGATAAATTGTGTTTATGCCCACAGGACAGATAAAGTTCTTCCATATGCATTGTGAAATTTTGGTAATTCTGCAATAAATACAGAGGGAGTAAAGTTGTACCGCAAAACACAGTTTATGTTATGTTGTATGTTTGTAAGACAGAGACAACACATGCGAGTGTGGTGTCCTCCATAGGCGTGCAACGGGGTATGTAGTGTATGTGTTTGCATATCCTGTGGGATACTGTGAACAATGTCTCAGTTCATAATTTTGATTCGTTATTTAGAGGTTATAAAATAGYAATGCGATATCAATATAAAGTATGGAATTTCTTTTTAAATTCATTGTGGACTCTTTTTAATACTCAATAAGGAAGTAAAGCTTTTATTTTTAGTGWAGGTAATTTTTATTTTCCTACAAATGACGACGGTTATATTTTTAACTTCACAATGTCTAAATACTGAATAGTTGACACTAAAATAAATTTAATCTATTCTGTACTCATATAATCGCTAGCATGACTTACCAGTGAACACTGATAAAAATATCTTTACCGAGCATTGGTAATCAAGTTGCAGTTTAGGGTGATGACCCTACAGTGCCTGGATGCATTAATGTTGATATTCATAGAATAACAAATTTCTATTGAAATTGACACAGAGTATGTGATTGAAGAATTTAAAGTCCTTATACCAGGAAAGAGAAGGCTTGAGTTATAACAATTATGTACAATGTAAATTTTCATTTCAATAAAAATTAGGAACCAGAAGTTAAAAATAAAATGTCACTTCAGTAACATTAATTTTAGCGTCATTTATATCAATTCTGCGCATGCCTATGATATCCTCTTTGTAATTATAATGAATTATACAGGCATTACCTGAAATATTTATT